CATGTGTCCCTCGACCTCAACCTCAGGAGCTGGGCCTGCAGGAACACCTGGGCTTCCTACGGGCCTAAAGCCTTCCTGAGCACCCCCAAGGCCTCTAAAGGCCCAGTAGCCAAGCTCCGTCAGTTCTGCGAGCGCCCTCGCTCCCCTGGGACTTAGCCACCGACCTGGGCCAGGAAGGCAGTGGTCAGGACTCCGGGCCCTCCCTGGCTCTTGGTAAGAACACTTCCGCTATCTCAAAGTTGCCATAAGAAAATAAATACAAGTGACACTGTGCTGGGCCAAAGCTCATTAGTTCGTTGTCCAGGGCTAATAAAGGAACAGAAGCGCAAATTATAGAGTTCAGCTCCAACACACGCTCTGTCACCCGAGATCAGCGTACCGCGAGCCTGATTCCAATTGCTCCGAACTTGCTGCGCAGTTTGCCCCCTCCAACCCCCTCCTCGCGAGCAGGAGGTTGGTGGAAAAATATAGTTCCAAAGGGGGTAATGATCAAGCTTTTCCTCTCGGAAGCCTGCGCCACCTCATTTCCCATCAGTAATCCCAATAAAATTAACGTCGTGGCTGCAATTGAAAAGAGGAGGGCCCGCGACACTCCTGAAATAACACACTTTCCCCCAGCAAAAGGTAAAAAGCAAAACGGCCCTTTGTTCAGCTAATTAACGAAGGCCCAACTCCGAAAGCAGATGTGTTTGCTTAGCTAATCACAAGCATGTTTCTTTCAAGGAACGTCATTTCGAGGGGGCCGCTCCAGGGGATGGGAAAGGGGGACAGAGCACCCCCCCAGGCCCTCTCTGCCTCAGGGGTCTCTCACCCCAGACTAAGATCCAGAGGCTGAAACCAGGCAGCCCATCTCTCACACCTTTCTCCCCCTTGGCCCTATCCCAGAGGCCCAACAGTCACCTCAGAGCTCTACAGAATGCCAGGCCTGCAAAACGCGAGGGGGAAAAAATAATAAAAGTTTTAATGACACAGATGCCATATTAAATGAGGCAGTTTTACAATTCACTTTGAATAGGACGCTAACTTATTACAAGTGTGTTATCAGAAGGACGATAAGATTTATAACTCCAAGAGTGAGCTTTTCGCCTTAATGACAATGGATGTTAAAGGGGAGGAAATCTGTTCTCTATTAGAGATGAGAGTCCCTTCCCTGTTTTCGGGCACTTACAGATGGGTCCAGGAGAGCAGATCCCAAGCCCCTTTGTGTCTCCTTATGAAAAATTCTCTCTTTCCCCTTTGGCTATGAAAACGGGTCTCTTTGCTCAGTGAGCACCTCGCTCAGTTTTGGACCTTGAGAGAGGGCAAAAGAGAGAGAGAGAGCGCGCGCAGACAGGAGACTGGGATGGGGATGGAGGTGAGGGGGTGGGCGAGGTTCTCAGCCCTGCAGTTCTTGCAGCAAAACTATTTCCCTGTCTTTCTTTGCGATACAAAAGATGGCTTTCCCCTAAACCAACACAGTAAGCAAACTTTAAAAAACTGGGGTCCTATTACAAACCAACGCCCAGCACTAACTGCTTTAAAATTACTGCATAATTAGATTTAGTTGAATTTCACCATTAATTAGGCAGCCGCACTGCAGGGAGCCTTTGAAATCTGAGAAAATGGGAAAAATCATCTGAAGCACGTTTTTTAAAACCCAACTTCAATAAATCTTGACGAGGCCCAGAATTCAGAGAGTACCTCGCTCCCCTCCCAGGCGGCTGAGGGTAGGGGTCTCCAGGCCCGGGCAGGGCCTGGAATTGGATGTCAGGGGCGATTCCCCCCATCTGCTGAGAGCTCGGCCTGGGCCCATCCCCTGTCTCTCCAGAGGATCTCCGAAGACCCTCTCTGGGAGGCCAAGTCTGTCCCGGCCGGCCTCGCCCGCTCAAACCTATTAAAGAAAGGGGATCCTCCGGCTGCGGGCGCGCTCCTGCCAGGGGCGCCGTCCACGCAGGCTCACACATTTCTAGGGCCCGCGACCACCCGCCCGGAACCCGCCCTCCGCCGCGGCGCGCCCCCCAGTCAGCCCCCGGCCGGGAAAGCCACCTCTGCGGTAACTTTGACAGGCAAGCAGCAAGTTCTGCCCGCGCCCGGCTGGGTTCGCGGCCCAGCCTCCACCCCCCAGCTGGACCCGGCCCGCACAAACCCCGGCGCAGCCCCTGCATTAATGAGCGCGAGCACTGACCAGGTCTGTAAATACTGGCTTCTCCCTCTCCCCCGATACCATTCAAACATTTCAGATGCTTTGAGGATACAGACTTTTGCTTTTCCTAATTTGGCTCCTGTTGGGAAGGGAGACATGAAATAAACTCGCCTAATTACAAGGGGTGGGGGTGGCAAGAGAGAGAAGGGGATACTGCGTTACCAATATTTCCCCTACGACTTCAGCTTTAATTACAGAACAATCGAGGACCGCACTCACTCGCCAGCAAGAGTTTAAAAGAGGGTTTTCTGCCTGCAGATGGAATGGCCTTTAGCCCCCCCCCCTTTTTTTTCTTTTTGGTAACCAATGTGTTTTCTATTACCCGGCCCTGCCGTGCCTGGCAGCCCGGCGCTCGCGGTGCAATGGGAGACGCCATGTTGGCTCAGCTCATAGGACCAAGTCAAAAGCGAGCTTCGAGGCAGAGTTTCACACGCTCGAGCTCCCCCTGACCGCCCCCCGCCCCGGCCCCCCCCGCCTGTCGCCGCTTCGTGCACATCCAGGGAGTGCAGCTCCGCGCGCCCGGCACCCCGGACTTTCCGGGGGCGCTGGGGGAATCGCCGCCCATGTAAGTGGGGGGCGGGGGCTGGGGGGGGGCAGGCACTTTTCCGCTGCTGCTGCCAACTCCAGGCCCCCGTCCCTGCAAGCCGGCCGGATGCAAACGAAGCGGTCTCCGCGGAACCAGCCCCGGACGTCGTCCGCTAACTTTGAGCCCCAGCCCCTCGCGGCCCGGAGAGGACTAATGCTGAAAGGCCGAGGCAGGGCGACCGCGAGCCGAGCGAACGGGCTACATTCCCAACCTCCCCCCACCCTCCCCTGCTACACACACCCCCAGCTCAGTCTTCCCCCAGGTTTGTTTGAAAGTGGCGAGAAGCAATGATCGCCTCTCTCTCCCCTCGGACTATTGTTGCATTTCGCGTCTAACTGGGTTCTCTCACACCCCCGAGCGCCAAGAGGAGGGAGGGGGAGCGGGCTGGGAAAAGAAATAAAGCGAGCTCAGATCAGATGGAGGAAAAAAAAAAAAAAAAAAAAAGGAAAAAAAAAAAAAAAAACCCAGCAAGGAAAAAGAGACACTTAAAGGGAAAGAGTCGCCATGTTTAGCAGCTTTTTTAAAGATCTCGTCAATTTCACACAGAACGCACTCGCTGGGTCCCAGCCCTCGTCTTTTGTCCAGTTCAGTTGCAGCAAAGATCTTTTGTTCTAACTCAGCGTGAAAAGAAAAACTTTCTTTAAATGCAATAAACTTAAACCAAACTCAAGACTCTAAACAGATCCTCCTCCAGCCACTCTAAACATATACAAGGGGTTTTGTTTTAACCGTTTGAAAAATTTTGGGTCCTGTTTTTCTGCCTTGCAGACCCCAAGCTCATTGCTGAAACTCAGAGTGAGAGAGAGATTTCCAATGACTAGAACACATGCTTAAACCATAATAAAACAGGGACTGTCTTTTGCTTTGAAAATCATAAATTATAATTTAATGCCAATAATAATTTACAACAAATGGCTGTTTACAATAAACTAACACAAAACAAACAAGGAAAGGGGCCTGTGTTTTACTTATTAGAGAAACTTCACACACTCACATGGATAGCACTTGCAAGAGGAGAAAATAAACAACAACCGACAAACCTCGAACTAAAGGTCAGCGATATTCTGCCCTAAGAACATACTTGTATTTATGTATGTATATATCTACAGAAAGAAGCTGGGGGTCAGATGGAGGACTCTGCTAAAATGCACAAATCAGACATTTTTCTGGTCTGCATGTATTGACTGGAACTTAGTTTCAAAGTTTAATACACTTTACAAAATGATCCCTTTTCTTCCATCTCCCCTACCCACCCGCTCTTAAAATTAAACCACAACATAGTGAAGTATGGTGGGGAGGGGATGCTGGAAAGCCTCAATAAGAACAAAATTGGAAGCTCCCACACACTGAGCTTCCTTCAAACCAGGAAAAGGGGGGGGGGATCCAAAACAAAATAGTTACTACTTCCAAATCAGCATACTCTGTAAAGTTTCCTTCCTTCTTTCTTTCTGTTCTTTTTCTTAATTTGGCTTCTAAGGACAAAGGATCCCAAGAGCAGTACAGATTGTATCTACACAATCCGAAATGTCAAAATGTCGATGTGTTTTTATGTACATAACTCCAGTGGAAAAGACTCCTTTGACCTGTGGTCATGCTCTCACAGAATGAACGTAAAGGGGGGAGGGGAAAGGCAGGCCAACGGCAAGTTATCATATATACACTAAAAAACAGACCCTTCAGCACTCTAAGCTACATCACTGAATTTGAAATCCTCTCAACAACCAAGCTAGATGAGAACCACAGAGTATAAACCTACTTAAGGAAAAACTCACTGCAAACAACTGCCTCTATTTACAATGCTGTGATTAGCCTGCTAGAACTGTCTTCCGCTTAACTGTCAGAAATGTACAAAACAGTATTTTTTTCTGATCATAAAATAGATACTGATCTCAAGATTTCTAATACTTTCCACAATACCTTCCCTAAGCAGGCACTTAAGTGTGACAAATATAAGGGCCTTTTTTTCCTGGAAAATCCATTTTTAATTAAAAGGAGGATTAAGTGAATGGGGGTGGTTTACTATATCAGTATGGCACTTCCTAAACCATAGATAAACCATTAACTTCAGCTTCTCCCCCCGACACACCCAAATTAAACAGGCAAATACACTAGTCCACCTTTGAACAAACTGACTGAGGGCAGTAAACAAATGGACCCCCGGGCCCGGCTCAGCGAGAGCTCACAGGGGCTCTTCTCGATGAGAAAGACAGTGAGTGGGGACAGCCAAACAGATTTCAGATATCAAATAATATTTTAATTTCTGAATACTTTCAATTTTCCTTGGAATATAACACACAAAGACTCGACCAAACAGTTCAGTTATTATAACTTTACAGTATACAGAAATGTTGCACTTAAAAAAAAAACCTTCAGTTTTTTTTAAAACACAAACTGTAAACTCTAAGATACTGAATCAATCACGTTACCTATAAGTGCCAACAGTGTTATTTTGTCATGCTGATTTCAATGGTATTTTTTAAAAAGGGAAAATATCAACAATTATAATACAAAGGGTTTGCAAATATACAAACAGATATAGGATTTTCGTAACAATTCAAGAACTAAGCGGGACCCAATTCAAATTACAAAAGTTCACTTTTTATTCAAAACCTCAGCATGTGTCTTGGACACATTCCTTGGCTGCCAATAAATTCCACAGTTCATTCTCTTTCTTAAAATATTTTTAAAAAGCTAGGTTTGTCATGGTGTCTTTTTTTGGGGGGGGCAGGGTGGGGAAGTTAAGTGTATGTGGTTCCTCTAGTTCTCAAATTAAGAGTGCTCAACTTCGCCTAAAATTTTTGGTCACCACTTCTAAGTGCGTTTCCATCATCTCTGAGTTGCCTTTTAAAGTTTTATGTCTTCCTATGATATTTTCATGGACTCAGTTTTAATTCTTGCAGAACATATATTTTAAGGATACACAGTTTTTAAGAAGCCAAGATTATATCAAAACTTATTATAGAACCACAGAATAAACTGGTTTGGAACCAGAAAAGTACAAAAAAGAACAGCTAGAGGTACATAGACACAGGACAATTAATAATTTGGAAAAAAAAAAAAAAAAGACTTACTTTCTCCATTCTGCTAATTTTCTCCCAATCTCCTTAAATGCACTTTTAGCAATATTTTTCAAAAATTTACCAAAAAAAGAAAAAGACTAATTTCCTTTTTATACAAAAATGATAAGTAGCAAGTTGCTCTGACCGACACAGGAGTTTTTTTTTTTTTAATGCATTCTGTAAAAGTTCATTTGACAGTCTTTTTTTTTTTGAAATTCACAGTCCATTAAATTCTTCCCCTCTCTTCTTTTAGCAAACTTGTAACATCCTTTTATATCCTTTCTTAACAGAAGGAATTTAAGCAAACAAACCAGTCTTTTGCCTTTTCTTTCTCTGTTTCTCTGCCCCTTCTTATTTTGATTTATTATTTATTGAATTGCCATATACGGCCAGTTAAAACTACTGCCGGACAGTAACATATCCCGGATGAGGGTTTCGATGGGGGTTTTACCTACCAAACGGACGAAAAACAATTGCTCTATGACTGAGGAGGAGACCGTGCGGAGGGAAGGGAGGCGAAGCAAAAGCTTTCCAAATCGCGTTGGTTGATTGGGGTACTGGCTCCTAACGTATTCTTCCAAAGCACACTGGGACTTTTCCTGCAAGCTTTCCACATGGGCTACATCAGAGAGACCACAGGCATCTGGAAGAAAGTTAAAAAAAAGAAGAAGAAGAAGAAGAAGAAGGGGAAGGAGAAGGAGAAGAAGAATTCAGTCATCAGATTAAGAGGTCTGAAAAGGGTCACATGAGGTGTGTGTACAGGGCTGTCAAACTGCCCCGACCGGAGTTGGAGCAAATGCCTCTGTGCTAAAAACCTGGGCGAAGGGGAGCGGGGTGGTGGTGGTGGAGAGAGCAGGAGATGATCCTGGGGTATTTGCTCTAACGTCAAACACAAGCTCACTGCACTGCAGGCTTTCACTCTCTCAGTCCTCAGGCTGGGTCCCTGGGAGGCCCCAAGCAAAGTGCATTGGGTGAAATCTGGCTCAAGTCAGTAAACAGACAGACAAACAGATGAAACCAAAACTGCCAGGGCTCCTCCCCCTCCTCGTCTGTAAATAATAGTTTGGCTTATAATTATATAGTTGGGGGGGGGAGGGCAACAACCTGGCCCAGCCTCTAGTAATGGCGTCCACGACCCAGCCTCAGATTCTCCCCAAAGAGGGCGACTCATTTTTCTCCAGTCTTTGAAACTGATTTAAGTGGCCCTTTAAAACTGATCTTGTCAGTATAGCCCTATTGAAGGGCAGCCATGCAAACTGTGATCTCTCTGTTCATTTGAGCTGTTTCTTTCCCCCCTTTTCTTCTCTCTCCCTTTTTCTCTCACCCCATTTATTTATTTATTTATTTATTTATTTATTTATTTATTTATTTATAAAACCCAGGTCCGTCCAAGAAGAAACCCCTCCCCTGTTATCTTCAGGAAAACACTTTTCTCTTTCGGATATGTGAAAAATACAATAAGTGCCTTTGAAATGAGAGGCTTCTCAGTGAAGGCGGTACAGGTTGTGACCTGACCTTTTTGGGCTCCCTAGACAAGACTGGGGTGAACACATGCATATTGTGAATCCTTAAAACAGACATCTGAAAACGACCGCCACTACCTCCACCCCAAGAACCAGAACACATATGCAATTTCCTCCTGTGTGCATCTAGGACTCCACACGTAAAGAATGCATAGGTGTCTGTGGTCAGGAATTAAAAGATCTGTTTGCACAGGACTCCCTCCCTCTGCATTGGTACACTGTGTGTCTCCCTATGAATCAGATAAGAGGGACCTTTATCTCTTTGTGAGGTGATGTGCATTCTCCACACAGGCCTCTCTACATTTTGCAAATAGTAATAAATTAAACTGTTACGACAGTATCAGGCATTTCTTTCCTTGAAAGACCAAGGGTAAGGTTGAGAGATAACAATGATATTGAGAAATTAACAACACCCCCATCATCTGGGCTCGTGGGCTGGATGTAGTAGGGTTGTGGGATGGGGGTGAAGGTGGTTGTGGGGTATGGGAATATCCTGCCTGCACATTTGCATCCGGCAAATGTTCTAGTTATGACAGTTCCCCTGAGAAAAATACTCCAGATCCAAGCCTCTCTCCACACAGCTTTTCCTCGCCCAGACACTGCCCTTTCATTAGTTACCTAAGGACTTTCAAAGGCAGAATTTGGGGTGGCTGTTGGGGGGGGGGTGATGTGTGAGAAACAGCAAGGTATAACAGACAGCAGGTTAAGGGCTCAGAACCCTGCCATCGATTGAGCTAATGACTTGGGCCCCTAGATTTCCTTCAAACAATAAAGAAGAGATTGTGGATCTTTTTGTCTGCCACAGGAACTACTCAGCACTCCCAGAGTCCAGATTACAAGCTGTAAAAACTGCAGTTTCTAGGTTCCAAGCCCTACCAACACCCCAATGTTTGTTATTCTGAATTGGGAACCCCTCTCCCCTCTCAGGCATGACAAAGGGATCAGCTGACAATTTAGACCCAGAAGGCGGAGGGGGTGATTTCCACCCACCTGGTAGGCTGAACTCAGCCTGGAGGCAGCCAAAAGGCTCAGGTGTGGCCCAAAGTGGAAAGCCAGACACCTTCAAAAATCATTTGGCCTCAAGAGTTAATTAATATTAGATCTATTACTCACACAGGTTAAACTACCTACAAACTAATTAGATTTCACAATGTAGTCAATGATGGTTTTATATCTCTGGCAACATTCATATCCAGCCCCAGTTGGCATACACTTTGGGTTGTTTGAAAATTGCCTTAAGTGTTTGCCTGGGCAGAGGAAGCAGGAGGGCAGAGTGTTCCAGCCCTCGCAGACATTCTGGACACTTACGATGGCCCCTTTCTTTCTCTTGCCCCTTCCTGACAGCTCTTCCTCCTCTCCTGGCAGTCTGCATTGTTTTAATAAGAATATGATTTTGAAAATTGTTGCCCTCAGGTTGGATTTGCCTGGAGCTCCATCTCCTACTGAGTTAGCAGACAAACTTTTCCCCTGCAGGGGCAAACTTTCCCCTGCAGAGATGATGCCAGGACCGCTCCAGTGCCCAGAGGCATCTCTTAGAGGCTCAGCCAGGGTGACAGAAAAAGAGCCCTGGGGTAGGGGAGACCGCACAGGCCCAGCTGGCCCAGAAGGCGGGGGGGCTAAGGGAGGGAGCAGGAGCATGCATCCCAGCCTGGCAGGCTCAAGAGGCTTTCCCATGGCCCATTTTGAGAGCCTGTGTCTGGAGCAGTCTTCCTGAAGTCCAGCCTTCCTCTCTTGTCCCCTGGACAGGCCTGGTGAGGCCCAGCACCTACACAGAGTTCCCACTCCCAAGTTTGCTCTCAACAGTTTGGCCTTTCAAGGGGGTGGAGGTGGGGGGAGGCTGGGCCCAGGCTGGGGACTCCCAAGTTCTCTGGTCCCTAACTCTGAGCTAGAAGTCCTTGGACTGAGAGGGCAGGGCTCCTTCCTACCTGAGGTGAACAGGACTATGGCCTTGAGACAGCTGTACTCGGCGGAGTCGACGTGCAGTGCTTTGAGCTTCTCCACTTGCTCTTGGAAGATCCGTATGTGGTCCATAAAGGCGACCACTCGGTCGGCGGACATGGGTGAGGCGTGTAGGCCGGCGGCGGCCAGGAGCGGGGCGACGTGGAGGGGCATGGAGCACTGGGCTGCATTGAGCACGAACAGCTCGCTCCAGGTGAGGCGAAGCAGGGCCACCTGGTCGGTGATCTGCAGGTCAGGGAAGAAGGGGATGTTCCGGGCCCACTCGACGGCGCTGAAGAGCATCCGCGCGGCCAGTTCGCAAATGTTCTCGATGCCCATGATGTTGTTGGGCTGCATGCACTGACTGCCGAAGCGCGACGTGGGGTAGGGCTCGGCGCGCAGCAGCAGAGAAATATATCCGGACAGGTACGAGTGGCAGTTGAGAGGGTCCCCGTTGGTGAGCGCAAACTGCCCGTGGGTTGGCTGGGTGGGCGGCATCCGGCCCCTCTGCACCGCTGCGGGGAGGAAAGGAGACACCCCGCAGTTAATGACCAGCCTCGTCCCCCAGCTCGGTCCGCCCCGGCCCGACCCCCACCTGACCCAGACCCCCGCGCCGCGCCACAACCGGCAGGCCTGCCCCTCTCCCCGGCGCGCCAGGGCCACAGACCTGGAAGTCGCCGGGAGCCCGGCAGCGCTGCTCTCAAACCACCACCCAAACAGGCTCCGGCGGCCAGAGCGGCACACTTGCCTCCGAGGCCCGCTCGGGGCTGGGCCGCCGAGGACCCAGAATTGACCGCTTTGCCTCGGGGTCCCCGGCACTGGGGGCGGGAGGTAGCGTTCTGGGGGCATCTTTCTTCTTTACTGCTAAACAGCTGATATTTCTTATTGATTGGAGGAGAGGGAGCGGGAGGGGCAAGTCGGGGGGGGGGAGGGTGAGACGCTTTTGCAGAAAGACACCAGGGTTCACCCCAGACGGCCTGCGGCCACCCCGGAACAACTCTCCCCCAAACCCCGCAGCCCCAGCCCGGCGGGGAACCCCCGGTGAGAGACGAGCGGAAAGCCGAGGTCTGGCGGCAGCCTAATCAGTGTGCTCGAAGAAAGAGACGGAGGGAGAGGGCGGAGAGAGAGGCCGGCCGAGGCGAGAGGAAGCCGGGGAGAGGCGGGGAGCAGGCGGCCGGCGCCGGCGCAGCCCGGGCAGGGCCCGAGAGGGCCGGGGAGAGCTGGCGAGGCTGGGGCTCGGGCTGTTATCTGACGCCGGACCGGGAGAGTCGCTCTCGCAGAAACACAAAGAAAGCCCGGCGTTCGCTCGCCCTAGCCCGGAGCCCGCGCCCGGCGCCGAGCGCGCCATTGGCCGAGCACTGCTCACGGCGCTCGGCGAATTTTATATCACAAAGACCCAACTCGCGCAGAGCGAAAGCAGCCGCCGAGGGCCCCTCGCCCACCCTTCCCTGCTCCCTAGCGCGCTCTCCTCCTTTCAAAAGTGAAAGGAAAAAAAGAAAACAGAGGTTTTTTTTTTTTTTTAGCAGAATGTTAATCCACGGAGGGTCACATGAGCGCTGCCCGGGCAGCAGCGTTAATACGGCGAAGTGCATAAAATTGCCATTTGTAATTTGAACCTCCTGTACAAAAGTACAATCTCAGGTTGGTTTTTTTTTTTTTTTTTGGGGAGGGGGGGGGGGGGGGGGAGGGGGGGGGGGGAGGAGGGACATATGTTGAACATGCAGGAAAAACAAGGGGAGAGAGAGAGAGGGGAAAGGCAGAGAAGTAAACCAGGCTTTGAAACAACAACAGACAACACCCCATCCCTCGTAGAAAGGTGAACTCGAATGAACTCGGAATCAATGCAAAGAAAATGAAACAGCCCGAAGAGAAAGTAGAGGAGGAAATCAGTCGGCCAAAGCATGCGGATTTGGGGGTCTGGGTTCCAGTGCAGAACTTGTTTCTAGTATAAAACCCCTTTCAACTGCAATACGAAGAGAAGAGCTTGGGGCTTCTGCGTCCTTACCCAGAGCAGGCTAGCCAAACGCACCCAGGGCCCCGGGACCCCAGGCGAGGGGGGGGGTGGGGAGAAATGAGAGGCCGATACCTTCCCGTCTCATGCCCACTTTGAGGCACTTTTTGAGGCGGCAGTACTGGCACTGGTTGCGGTGGTGCTGGTCGATGGGACAGTTCCGGTTGGCGCGGCACGTGTAGCTCAGGTTCCTCCGCACGCTGCGCTTGAAGAAGCTCTTGCAGCCCTCGCACGTGAACTGGCCGTAGTGCTTGCCGCTTGACTTGTCCCCGCACACCACGCACTCGATGTGTTGCTGCTGCTGCTGCTTGTCGCCGCCCGGGCCGCCGGGGCCGCCCTGGCCACCGGCCGCCGTCTGGGCCGGCGTGCTGGCCGGGCCCCCTTGGCCCGGCGTCTGTGGTGTGTGCGGGGCGCCGGGCGGCGGGCCGGGCACAGGAGGCGCCTGCGAGGCCTGGCTACCCTGCGAGCCGGGCACCTCGTCCTGGGGGTCGCGCCACGTGCTGACTACCATTGCCATATCTATGGGGGCCGCGTCCGGACTTCCTGCTCCCCTGGCTGCGGGCGGCGGCGGCTCCCGGGTCTCGGGCTCCGGCGCGCCGCCTTTTGTGTGTGCGAGGGTGCGAGAGGGCGCGGGAGGGCGCCCCGGGTGGCTCGGGGGCTGGTTGGTTGAGGTTGATTAGTTTTTCCTTTTTTGTTTCTGCTTTTGCAAAGTTTTGTCGATGGCTTGTCTGGCCCGGTGTGTTTGTTTTGTTTGTTTCCCTCGGCTCAGCTTTGTTGGTTTCGGGGGGCTTTCCGCCGGGAGGGGAGGAGAAGGGGCCAGGGGAGAGAGAGTGGGAGCAGAACGTGGAGAGAGAGGGAGGGGAGGGAGAGCTGCAAGTCGATTGTCTGGCTTCAAGACAGAAGTAGGAGGCAAAAAAAAAAAAAAAAAAAAAATCTCTCCAAAGATCTCGCTCGCTCTCACTCTCTCCCTCCCTCTCTCGTTCACTCTCTCGCTCTCAGAGCTGGTGTGCCGAGGAGTTGGAGTAGGAGGAGGAAGAGGAGGAGGAAGAGGAGGAGGAGAGGCGACTGTCCGGGGGCCAAGTCCAGGGCAGCCCACAGTCAGCCATTCAGGAAAGCCATCGAAATCAGGAGGACTGGGAGAGCGGAGGCGCCGGTCGCGGGCGCGCCCAGAAAGCCGGGCAGGCCGGGGCGGAGGCCGGCGGCCCGCGGAGTGGCCGGAGCGCTGCCCGGGTCCGGGGGAATCAGCATGAAAGTGGTCCGCGTCCGGCGCTGCGCGGCGTCGTCCTGGCGCTGGGCCGCCGCCTGCCACGGGCGCCTGGCGCGCGCCTCGCTCGCTCTGGCCGCCGCCGCCCGCTTTCGCCGGATGGAGGCCGCTCGCTGCTCCCTGCGGGCCGCCCGGGCCGCCGCCGCCGCCGGAGCCGCCGCCGCCGCCGCCGAAGCCGCCGGGTCGGGCCCGGAGCCGCCGCGTCTAGCGCCGCCGCCGCCGCTGAAGCCGCTGCTGCCGCTGCTGCCGCCGCCGGAGCCGCTGCTGCTGCTGCCGCCGCCGCCTCACACACATAGGGAAAGAGTCAACTCGCCGGCGGCGGGGGAGAAATGATAAAAGAGAGAGAGGAGGGCAGATCACCACCTAGAAGCACATCCTTCGTGCGCAGAGGGGGGAGAAAAAGACGGAGAGAAAGAATGAAAGAAGGGAAAAAAGGCAGCACGGCACCCGGAGAAAGGAGGCAACTCGGGGAGAGGAGGAGGAGGAGAAGAAAACACACACGCGCGCACGCACACACACACCGCGGAGAGAAAAGAACAGAGAATCAAAGTGATCAAATATGCTAAAAAGGGGGGCGCGGGAGGGAATGCGATTTATAGGCGCCGGGGCTGGCAGAAGTGGCTTCTCCGCGATCAGCTCACTGAGCTCTCTATATAGTGAACTTTGACACGACTGCTGCAACTTAGCGCACGTTGCCATGGTGACGGCGCGCCTTATAAGGCAGCAGCCGGGGTTGGCCTGGCCAGGCGCGCGCGCGCCGCCCCCTCGTCGTCATTGGCCGGAGCGCGGCGGCCCCGCCATGGCGGCCGCGAGCTCAGCCCGGTCCTAGCGCGAGCGGCGTAGCAGCAGCGGCGCGGGGAGCGCAGGGGGCCAAGGGGGGCGGGGAGGGGGCGGCCGCGCCGCCACCACCGCCAGGCGGGGGATGGGCCCGGGCCGGCCCCGGGCACGCGGCCCCCGAGCTCTCTGCACCCCGCACCGGAGGTTTCCGCCCCAGCGGGGAGAGGAGCGCGGCGCGCACACACAACGCCTCTTAAAGGCTCCGCGAGAGGCTTTGGATGGAATCGAGGACTTCGCCTCCCGCAACTTGGCGATGCCACGAAATCCGTCGCTCGCGCACCACCCGGGACTCCCGGCGCATCTTTGTGCCCACAATGCCAGAGAAAGAGAAAAGTTCCCCGGTTTCTTTGCAGAGGGGTAGCGGGTAGGGGGCAGGAAGGTGCCGGGAACCGAGCTTGGAGACCTTTACCAAACGAAAGATTTGGTCAAATCCGGGTGATGGTAGACCCTTCTCGTAATCGACTCTGATCTCTTGCTTGGTTTCGTGGCTTATTTCTTTTTTCCCTTTTCGAGGAAAAAAAGCCATTTAGCGCCTATCTTTTCCTTGTAGGGTTAACATTTCCCAGGTATGTGGCCTGACATTTTAATTGCTCAAATAAAGCATCTCGGATGCTGAGAAGCACAAGTAGACTTCATCTCATTGTCATGACGCAATTAAAATCAATTTTTCTCAACTTTATCCTCTCTCATTAGTTATAGCTAACTCACAGCCCAGCGTCCTGCCACACACCCAGTCATGGAGAGAGGTGAATAGAACGTTCTGCGCGCTGATGGACAAGCGGAAGCAGCTTCCCAGGCTCCCCTGTGCCTACCCTCTGTACACACATGTAAGCGCACATGTATCAGATGCACATTTGTCAATGTACACAGACAAAGACTTCAGCGACTGTGCTTCTAGGTCATGGAACAGTTGAGTACAAACTTCATTGTTCCTCAAGTTCCTTTTAAGCATCCATATAGTCATTAAAACACAACCAGAGATTCTGCTCCAAATTGGGAATAATACCAAGCACAGCTCACAAAAACCACACACACGCCATGGTCTATCTCAAGAGATTCACTGCAGTAAGAACAACTTCATAGCCTGAGCCATTCCGCTCAGTGTGCTAAAGTCATCAACATGGATGTGTCTCTGGATTCCAGAGTGTTTGGTTTTAAACATCAAACAGCTAGAATTGCCCCCACAGAATACACTATATTTCAACGCAGTAGCCTTTTGGTTTGCTTGTGAGAAGTTAGTGAATTGTGATTGTTCAACATTTATGGAACAAAATTTTGACACCATCATACACATTTTTGCACCAAGAAAAACCATAATCTGGGAAGCCAACCAGGTTTATGAACAATTAAAATATTTGACATAAAACACACTGAGCTTCAGGAAACATGAACACATATAAAGGCTAAATTAATGACCACAGGAAGGCATCCTTGATAGTTCACAAAAATCGACGAGATAAAAGATTTAAAAAAACAACATAAACCAGACATATAATTGACCTGTGCTGGTGTGCATTTTGCACTCAATACCCTTTACACACAGACAGAATACAAGATAGGTACTAAGTGAAGATGTAGGCAGACAGGGGCTAGTTTTTAGGGAAGGAGAAACACCCCCCCCCCTTACACTTCATTCCTGAAGCCTTCTTAGCCCCCCTCACCCCATCTCCGCTGAATCACGTATTTCACAAAAGCTGCAGGTGCTGGGATTATTTGAAAGTTGTAAAAAAAAAAAAACATAGTGGACACTGAACTATCATAAACCTGGTGTGTAATGAGATTGCCACAGAGAGAAGCAGGCTGAGAATTTCAGGTTGATTAGAGACACAATATAACTTTCTCTTAAAGAGGACAGAAGGATGGAAAATAAATCATTTCAGAGAAGGTGGTTTTTTTTTTTCCCCTTCCCTTACAATCCCTATGATTCAAGGGATTGCCTAATGCTACAAATGCCAGTAGATTAGGGGCAAACTCAACAGAGATGTGGTGGGGCTGTGTTGAAATAGGAAATCTAATGGGCATACCCATCTCAGTTTAATAGAAGATGGGAATAATTGTAGGGAAATCTTAATCTCTCCTTTTGAGTGCAGACACTTCCATAGCAAGATCACCTTTTACAGAAGTGAAGTGGGAAGTTTTTGAGGAGAAAAAGCTTCCACGGTACACTTAGAGATTTTTGGTATTTGAAGTGCGCTCTGATGGCCTCAGATTTAAAATGAAGAATTTCCTCATCTCTTACAGAACTGAATCCTGCTACACACATGACCACAGGGCTGACATGAAATCAGAGGTATTTCACTCTGCATTTTAGGATTCATTCAGTTCTGGGAATGCTACTAAAATTCCAAATAAATAAATAAATGACCCTATCAATTATAGTTAATTTTACTGCATACAAGAAGAGAAAGACTGCAGACTGAGGGAAAAAGGGGGGGGGAATATTTTAAAATGTCTTCTTCAGAGATGCTCATTTCCCTTGAATAAACAGCTCTAAGACTAACAGATAAATATCAATATGTCGTGTTCAAAAAAAAAAAAAAAGTCCAGCCCAGTCTTTTATTGTAGATGTAAATTTATTTTAATGAGAGGAATGGCAAGCTTTAATTTGGCCGGAGAAAGTTGGAAAAACATTTGTTTTACTCTGGTGAAAAAAGAAAAAAAAAAAGAAAAGAAAAGTAAACCCACCCAGGAATATGATTTTCTTGCAGAAAGTGGTCTGACGGCTGTAATTCTCCACAAATTAAATCACAATATGAATACAGACCCCAGCAAATGCCGAGTTTAGCTCTGAACTCAGTAGAAACCAGTTCTGTCCACCAGGATTCATTGAATTCCTCCTTTCCCTCAATCTAGTCCGTGTGTGTTTTTCTCTTCCACCACACTGGAGCTCCATGAATAGGGAAAGGGGCTTCCATTGTGTCCCTCTGAACTTCCAAGTCAATGCAATTTTTAACCACTGGCTTGTGGTACTTTGAAAATCACCAGGGGCTGTCAGAGTTGGGTCCTCTGAAAAATTTACAGTGCTAAATCAGAGCATATGCTGGGAGGGAAAAAATTGCTTAAGATTGGAGCAAGTACAGTATCTGTCTGCCCCCTAGTGTAAGAGTCCTCGCTGCCTAAAATTCAACTTTAAAAGAAAAGGAGCTCTTAAAGGGAAACGACTTTGAGCTCACGTAGGCATAGCAGAATGAAAGTTCTGTACATTTTAATCTAAATAATTCTTCCGGATTTAAAATTAATTGGCTCTGGCTTGGTTGGACCGGACTCGGATCTCGCCACCTCTGCGCTTCCCGAGTCACTGGCGGAGAGGTGATGATTTTTTTTTTTTCCCCCTGAACTGGGTTTATGTGCGTCCCCCCTCACCCCCTCCTCTCTTTTTCTTTCTCTGTCTCTGTCGTCTCTCTCGCTGGCTTTTTAAAAATGAGGAACCGTTCCTTGAACGTTCTGGACAGAGCACAGAATTGCTTCTTAAGTCAGCCCGACGCGGTTGCAATAGACAGCAAAAAGGTAAACGTTTGCCTGAAATCCGCACGCCAGCTCCACCACCCCGCCCGATGGTGAGTACCCTTCTCGTCGCGATTCTCCTCCTAGCTTTTACCGAGCGCTCTTCTCCCCGAGCCGCGGCCGAGGGCGCCGGGCAGAGCTTTCCTCCCTCCCTGCCTGGCTGGCTGTCAGTTGCACAAGGTTGCAAAATAAAGCGCAGAGGCAAATCGAACAGTAAATTCTGATACTTAGTGCGAGCCTCGCAGCTCCTTTGCTAGAAAAACCGAGTCGTCTGTTGCTTGGAAAAACACGCTTATAGAACTGGCTTTTAGTTTGCTCTATCGAAGGAAATGAGTTTGAGGAGACAGGACGAGGAGACGGGGAGGCACCGCAGTCTTTACGCTTCGGTTTAATCATATTTTGGCAGCTTTGCAATTGTATTTTCCCCCCTCTTCCCCCCCTCCACCACCTCTCCTATCACACACATGTAATAAAATATGGCAATGCATTTAATTGATGCCCCCCCTCCCCAAACCCCTGAAACCACAGTCCTAGGCATTTCATACACGTTAGCAAACCGATATTTTGAAAAGCCCCAAGTCATCCCCAGCCCCACACAGCACAAGGAAAAAAAAGTGAGAAAGGAGAGAGAGAGAGAAAAAAAATACTGTAAGTAAACATACCAAAACCATATTTGCCTTGTTCAAGGTCCCAAAC